CTCAAGTATTCAAACCTTAAAGGTTTATTCAACTAAATCTTCATATAGGAAAACTATCTGAACATCCATCTTGATGTATTTCCAAATGTCACACAATTGCGATCACACTCAGTATAACTGGTGATCACGTATCAAAGTAATCCAGGCATTCTCTTTGCCAGTATCATTTGATAATAAGCCTATCTCATTGACTTTCATTCACTTGCATCCCAAAACTAAATTTTCTAGAGAAATCACAGTTTCAAAAAAGTTTTTAGCCTCACTAATCACCATATAGGTTTAAGAAGATTTAGATAGAAGAATTTTAAAATCCTAGCATATTAACATCTTCTAGGCTCATCTCTTTTCTCATGAAAATCGCTTCCTCAATTTCATGATAATATTCTTGTGTAAATCTGAATATTAGATTTGTCCACACAAAAAACCGATATGCACTATTATATTGTGCGTAACCGTTGAATACAAAGTCAACAGATTTTAAAGCTTATCGTAACCATCTTGGGTTTAGATATTGTTACCTTTTGCATGACACCCCCACATTTATAGAATTTATACGAAGGCTTTCAGCCTTTCCAAAAATTCATGCAAGGTCTTTAAACAATTTCTTGTGTCACAATGATTATGAGACTCCCATAGTCATATCACAAAAAACACATTCTCAGACCGTCATCTACCGAATTAGGTCTTTTCTAAATTTAAAGCACCAAACAAATTTGGTCCAATTTGTCATTCTGAAGCCAATAGTCTTACTATTAGGAAACATAAATCCAGTCTCCAATAGTCTACTATTCAGAACTTCGTAACATGGCCAATAGCCTTATCACCAAGAATCACTAATTTTTCAACATGTGGCCAGTAAACTTTCTATTACTAGGAATTACAATGTCCTGACATAGGACTAATAGACCATTTCATTAATAGGAATCATCATGTCTTAACATATGATCAATAGACTCTTTTACTACTAGGAACCATTATGTCTTGACATGTGATCAGTAATCTGTTCACTACTAGGAAACACAATCTCATAATTATATAGCCAGTGGTCTAACACCTCCTTGGAACCACCAATTTTTTATCTCTATGACCAGTGATCTTGTACTCACTAGGAGCCACCAATATAAGAATATATTTAGAATTTAAAAAATTCAAAAATATATTCACCCACCCTAACGGGTTGTCTCATCTTTACTTTCAAGCAAAGTCATATAGCAATCATATATGTTATAATTAATACAAGGATAACATACTAATTGCCTCTGATTAATTCAGAGATATTATCATGCAATCTTATGATTTGCTTTAATCACACTTCATCTCTCTAGATCTTCATTTAAGAACCTCACAAGGCTTTAATGTTGACAAATGGAGCAACATTTCTGTTGTCACCTCTTGAAGCCATTTCTGAAAAATTACAACAGAATTTCACTATTCTGTTTTTCCAGAAACTAAAGTTAACACTAGAAAATTCCAAAGTCTGAAATTTAATTCAAAACTGATTTCACAACTTATCCTATAATCGAACATGGTCAAGAAAGTTTCCAAGAAGACTGGAGGGGTCACACCGGTCCCACTTAAGACCTAATTAACCTTAGACAAAACTTTCAAGAGCATGTTGACCCCTAGTCTATGAGAAACAAATTTAGAATTAAGTTTTTCAAGGGATAAACTAGATTAAAACAAACCAATTTCCAAGCAAATAAAATTTGCTACCAAAATTACACCACTCATAAAAGTTAATCAGTACTCTCGGAACTCAGCCTATTATTTCTGAATAAAAATCAGAAATATTTTAGCTAATGCTAAAATTTGGTTTCTTTTCTCAAAACCAAAACACTTTGAAAATAATCAGATTATAAACCAAAGCACTTTTGAAATAATTATAACCAAAGACTTTCTCCAAACTTGGTTTTCCAACACTTTGGGAATAAAATGATTAAACCCAAAGATTTTCTCAAACTCCAAAGGTTTGAAACCAAATCCATCTTAGTTGTTATTTCTGAACAAATAAGAAATACTCTTTAGCCAAGGCTAAATATTTTGGATTCTATTACAAAAAAACCAAACCAAATTCCAAACTTACAAGCAATTAAAAATTGTTAACCAAATTATAAGCAATGTAAAAAATTGTTACAACAATACAAGAAAATAAAATGCTTTAATATGCCAAGCAAACAACCTTGCTTAAAAAATTGCAAGTAGCCACTACTAAATATCAAGCAAAAAATGTTTAAATTATATAGTCCAATATTTTGGTTTGTACAATCCAAATCTATTCATTTGATTTTTTTTTTTTTTTTTTTCCATTCCCTTTCACATAGGTATTCCTGTAAAAAAAAGTTAGCAAAAAACCATAACAAAATACACACAAATAATCTAAGCAAAAAGTAAATATAATAAATTAATTAAAACTATTTAGCAAACTAATTAATAACAAAATTAACTAATGAATTAAAATGTTAGAAGAGTTACACAACTAAGTTTAAAAAAATATAACTTCACAATTAATTTAAAAGTTAATAGCCATGGGTAATATATATCAAATTATTACACAATAATTGTGCACATAAATCTAGACAATTTACAAAATTTTGATAACTCCAAAACCTTAAACTACAAAATTAATATGCTAGAGTTACATAGAATTTAAATCACAATAAACATGTAAATAAATTAAATTAATTTGCAAGAGTTATATATGAATTTAAATCATAATAAATATGTAAATAAATTAAATTAATATGTAAGAGTTACATATGAATTTAAACAAACAATAATCATGTAACACACATGTAAATGTTACTAGAAATTAAAAAAATAATAATAATACGCATGCAAATTACACTAAAAAGCAATGGGATTTAGATAATTCACATGTATATCATATTCAAACTGTAGAACCCAATTAGCATGTTTATTTCAACTAAAAATTTAAACACTTCTCAACATGCAAAGTATATTATAAATTTATAAAAAATAAAAAAATAAAAATAAAAAAAACACACACTCAAAGCATGATAAGAAATTATAAACCATGCTGATAGAATAAAATTATACTAAACCAATTAACATGTAAATATTATTTGAAGAGTTAGCAATAAAATTATTCTACTGAAAACATAGCATTGCATGATCATGTTTTCCTAGGAAACAAAACCAGTGGACCATTGTACAAGTATGAATTAATATTTTATTAAACAACTCTTATACAACCAATGGGAAAATAGTAGTGAAACCTTGCACTGAAACAGTGTATGCAACGAAAAAAAAAAATAAAAAAAAAAAAAAAAATTGAATTCAAGAATGCAAAAACAGTGCACTAATTAAGCTATCAAATAAACAGTAGCACCAAATTACAAAGTACATAACCAGTGGACTGTACCAACCGAAACAGCATGCACAGTGAAATTTAATTCTTACAAATTTCATATGAATTTACTTATCTAATTCCAATTTCATGAAAAAAAATATAATATGTTTTAAGTTTGTTGTATATATTGTGTAATTAAATAAAATAAATAGATTCATATTAAACAACCACTTTGAATTTCAGAATAAGAATATGTTGGAATTTACAGAAATTCATAATAAAATAAAACTAGTAAAAGAAAGCAAACCAAAACCTCTGTGATAGCATAGTGCCCTTAAAACAGATTAACCGTCTCACCGTGAGTGCCGAAAGAACGTTGACTTCTGTCTCTCAGGATACGACGGTTTAGACCGACTAACGCAAAAGCACCTTCTGAATAGTTTTGGGAACTTGACAATGGCTACACTCTCTTTAACAAGAACCAAAGAAGAGGCTAACAAAAGAAGATAGGAAAAAGTTTTCCTTTGGTGAAAAAAAAAAAAAACCATCTCCAACTTCTTCTTCTTTTTTTAATCTCAAAACACCATCTCCATTTTCCATAAAAAAATCTCTCAAAAACTCTTCTTCTAAGTTGGAGGGGAAAGACTCTTTTTATACTTGTAGGAAAGGGGTTTTAGCCATGAAAATTACCATAAAACCTAACATCAATGAGCATCAACTCTAGCCATTAGAGCTAAAGTTACAAATGTGCAAAACTCCCTTTTGCATAGAATGATCATCAACTTTATCATCAAAAGATGAGAGTTACAAAGGTTAAAACCTCCCATGTACTTAAAATATACAAATAAATATGTATATAATGATATTTGAATAAGTCGCAAAATGGATACCGGTAATGGGTCACAACTCGATCCAAATCCAATCTAAAATATATGCACAAGACAAGTCCAGTCCAGCATAACACAATCCAGTTCATCCCCAAGGCTAAGTCCAACACATGTACATACACAAGCCTTCGCCAGTTCAGACCAAGACTAAAACCAAGTCCAAGTCCAAGCCCAAGCCCAACTTCTATTGATGCCCATTTATGAGACAATTCTCGTTCACAACTTAATGGTTTTGGCCCATTATTTTTGTATTGCAATCTTCTCACATGAGTGAATACAAAACCACTCAGAACTACTTCAACCGACGATTGAGTCTCACTTTAATTTTGAATTAAAGTTGTCGAAAAACCATTATTTTCCAATAGAGAATTCTAAATAGAGCTCTAATGACTTGACAATGAAAAAAAATACAAGACACAAAGATCACATCCTTGTGAAGCCCACATCCCATTAGAACTCTCAATCCTTTTTCTTTTGATTATATCACTTCGCTACTTTTTTACACGCTTTTTTTTATAAAAAAAATTAACTTTTAACTAACTTCTTAAATCACTCTTTATTCACCCGAATTCTTTAGGTTAATAATTGTGCGATGAAAATTAATTTATGTAATATAAATTTTAGATTATTTTGAAAAATTAATTAAAAATGAATTTTTAACTTTTTTTAATTTTTTTAAAAAAGACTAAAAAAAATAAAAAGATGATGTAATTTAAAATTTCACTTTTAACTATCTTGCCAAAATTACTATTGATATAGCGTAAAATGGGGTGGAGAGTAATTTCTCAATAATTTGTGGGTTGATAAGAGTGGATTATTCGCCGGAACGTTCTCAGTGAGAGAGGGAGGGAGGCCTTTTGCTTGTCACATTTGCTTCTGAAAAAGCGATTTCCCTTTTGCTTCTGCAACTGTTTTCTTCTCCAATTTCTCTCTATAAACTTCTGCTCTCTCTCTCTCTCTCTCTATCTATATATATACTTGTTTTCCTTCACTCCAAGGGAAACATGTTACCGATTGTTAACGGCATGGTGTGGATGGAAGATAGAGGAGATGAAGAAACACCTTCATGGGCTGCTCAAAACAACAACAATGGCTGTATTGTAGACAAGAAAGACGAACTGGGTTCACTCTCTACATTTAAATCAATGCTTGGAGTTGAAGACGAAGACTGGTATGTAAACACCAACAACAACAACACTATCCTCACTTTCCCATCAAATTTCACCGAATCTGATAACAATTTGCTGTTACAATCGGTAGGTTCGTCTTCGTCTTGTTCACCATCTTCAGCTTCAGTTTTCACCAATCTCGACCCATCTCAGGAACAATTTTTTCTCCCTTCAAAACCCTCCATTTCTTCCGTCCTCAATCCCATCTCCAACAACCCATTAGACCACAGCTTCGATCTGGGTTGCGAAACTGGGTTTCTCCAGACCCATTCGTTGACTTCTCTGAACAGGGGAGGTGGGATTTTGACTGGATTCACTGATTTAACCTCACAATCCCTGATGGGTACTCACAATTTGGCCTTAGATCCTCAATTTTCAAATACCCATTCGCTTCAATTGACCGGTTCGACATCGTTTCGGGGTTTTCAGGAGGAGGGTTTTGGGAATCCTTTGTTTCTAAATAGGTCCAAAATGTTGAAGCCACTTCAAAATTTTACTTCAATTGGTGCACAGCCAACTCTGTTCCAGAAAAGAGCTGCTCTGCGCAAGAATTTGGCCAACAATGGGACCAATTTGGGGGTTTTGGGTACTGAAAGAGGTGGGATATCAAGCAATGTACAAGGGTATAGTGGGAAGATGGAAGTGAGTGAAGTGAATGAGAAGAAGAAGAGGAAGTACAGCATTGGGGAAGATGTTGAAGATGTGAGCCTTGATGGGTCTGGATTGAATTATGACTCTGATGAGTTTATGGAGAACAATAAGGTGGAAGAGAGTGGCAAAAATGGTGGGAATAGCTCGAATGCGAATAGTACTGTCACGGGCGGAGATCAGAAAGGGAAGAAGAGAGGGCTTCCAGCTAAAAATTTGATGGCAGAGCGACGGCGGCGGAAGAAGCTCAATGATAGGCTTTACATGCTGAGGTCTGTTGTTCCAAAAATTAGCAAGGTAAGAATTTCATTACAGCGATTTCTCGTGAATTACAGCTTTGAATTATTGACATGTTTTAGATTCTTATTAGTCTTTTTGATCTTTTTTTTTCTTTTTCTTTTTCTTTTGTTTTTGTTTGATTACTAGCATCTTCTGCTTTGCATGGTTCAAAAAAGGTCTGTGAATTGTAGTCTATGAATGTTAGCATTAAATTCTATCACATGGATTCTGCTGGAATGGTTTTAAAAAATGACAAAATAGTTATGGACCACAGACTGGGAAATGGAATTCAGTCCTACAAGGATTGGATTATTGTTTTGTGATAAATGAATCTTTGTGAATGTTGTTTTGGTTCACAGGCACACTGAAAGTATTAAATTGAATTTTTAGATTCCTATAATTGTGTTCACCGAGAAATTTGATTCTTTTCTTAATCCCTTTGAAGGTTATCTTTTTATGCCATTGCCTGTGTGAAGTCCCTTTCTCTTATTAACTCACTCCTTTGCCTGTACAACCCACCCTGGGTTTGTGTTATTTTGTCTGTCCTCAGTCCTCACAAGTTGTGTGTGTGTGTGTGTGTGTGATACGCACGTGTGTTTGGGAGTTTGAATTTCTACGCAACTGTTTGTGAGGACTTGGCATTTGATTTTGTGAGGGTTTGTTCTGGAATTGAGATTCACAACTTGTGAATTACCCTTGAGTGATTGAAGACAACATGCATGCCAAATTTAAGCCAGGGCATATATTCATCAATAGCTGAATGAAGAAAAGTGTAAAAATATGCTCAAATTAATGGTAGATCTTAATAAAAATGGTCTAAGTTGTTGCCTTCTGGAGTAACTCTAAAATTTGGCCTCCAATTTTTTTTTTTTTTTTTCCGATATCTGCTTTGCTTTGTACTTCGTTTACTTCTTTCACAAAACTAAAGAAGTTGAGAAACAATTTTGTTTTTTGTAAAATAATAAAGAGATAAGTTAATTATATTGCGTTGATTTATATGTATATACATATTTACAGCATAGTTATGTTAATATTTATTTCATTTTAAACAATATGTATGTATTTTTATATGTATATAAAATTAGATTTATTCTAAATAAAGTGAATCTTACACTATTCATGATTAGATACAATTCACTATTTTAGCAAAATGATTCACGATTTGAAAACAATGGTTGAGATTATAAGGCCTATGTTATTCCAATTCATTTTATCTTAGTAGGGATTGGTGAAGCGAAGTCCCACATCGCCTGAGAACTAAAGTAATATTAAGCATATAAGCATGAGGGCACCCTCACCTCTTGAGCTAGCTTTTGGGGGTGAGCTCTACCCAAGACCATGTACCAATTGGAAGTGTTCAAAGCTTGAACAATTCTCTAGGGTTAGTTATTCTGAACAGGTATGTGGGTAAAATCATGTGTTTAAAATATTTTTTCTTCATTTCTTTGTTTTGCATCTAATTGATTAGGGTTCAGACAAGATCTAAGATGACTTGAACACATTGACCATGCCAGCTCAATGGAAGCTATTAATGAGTTGCATTTGAAGCTCCTATATTGTAATTGTGCCCTGTGAAAAATGTATGATGGGGGTTATATTGCTGTATTGTGTTGACAGATGGATAGGGCTTCAATTCTTGGGGATGCAATTGAATACTTAAAGGAACTTCTGCAAAAGATCAAAGACCTTCACAATGAACTGGAGTCAAACCCTCCTGGCTCTTCATTGACACCTACCTCCACAAGCTTCTACCCTTTGACACCCACCCCACATTCCCTGCCATGCCACATCAAGGAAGAGCTTTGCCCAAGTTCATTGCCAAGCCCAAATGGACTACCTGCAAGGGTAGGCCTTCATTATTAATTTATTGTTGCTGTAAAAACATAAGCCTTGTTTGATTTAGTTTTTGAAAACTGTTTTTAGTTTTTAGTTTTCATATTTTTTTGTCTTTAGTAAGAAAAAATTTCACATTTTAGTTAAATTTTTCCACTTTTTATATTCACCTAGTCTAGACGCGCCTAAAAAGTAAAACATTTGTGAAGAAATTTTTTGTTTTGGGGGGGAGGGGGGAGTACACTAAAAATGCATTTTTTTTGTATTTAGTGAATTTTTTCAAAAATATTTACGTTATAATTGCATCTAGGTTGTGTAGATCTAAAAAGTAAAATATATATATATATATAAAATAAAAAAATAAAAAAGAGTTCACTAAAGACTAAAAAAATACCTGAAAAACCAATAACTCAAAAGCAGTTTTGGAGTTTCAAAACCAACAGTTACTTTTTGCCATTGTTAGTTCGTAGCTGGGGTAATTGCCTCTTGGTGGTATCTTCATTCGAATTTAAATTATGTACATGTTTTGCACTATAGCCTGTTGGTTCTGCTACGATAATCCAAGAGAAACTTTCAAAATGACACATTACCATTTTGCTGTTTTTGTAGGTAGAAGTAAGGTTAAGTGAAGGTAGAGCTGTTAATATCCACATGTTTTGTAGCCGCAGACCAGGTCTCTTGCTCTCTACTATGAGGGCTTTGGAGAACCTTGGGCTAGACATTCAACAAGCTGTTATCAGCTGCTTCAATGGGTTTGCGATGGATATCTTCCGAGCAGAGGTATCTTTCTCTCATCTTCATTAAAATAATCTTGGGCATCTTTGTTGTAATTAATGTTGCATACTAGGACATAAGTCCATACAGAGGGGCCAAAACCCTGGTAGTTTAATCCCAGCTCTACCCATATGATTTTTGCCGTCAAATATGAGATGGAAATTTAAATTGTTATCAATGGCAAACTAAACAATTGTTAACGTGAAAAGTTACTTTTAAAGTTGATCTACATGCAAGGAATTCGGCATGGGTATCACTTTCTGATATGTAATCTGAAAAACTTTCAATTAGCCTGGAAGCAAGGGTATCATTTGTGAGATGTATCATCAAGATCACTATTCATATTTTTCCTGATAGATTGCTCATTGAGATTTACTCCACCTTGATTGCATGTGCATGAGACATCATGATGCAGAATGGACCTGCACACATTTTGGTCGTAAACTTCATTTATAATTTTTTAATTTGTCATATTTATGTTTATATTTAATTAAGTTTTGAGTGATATTTATTTAAGTAATGATTAAGTTTCCATTAATATTAGGATTCCTTTTTTAAATTAGGGTTTTCAGCTTATAAATGTTAGTCTTTATTTTGTCCACTTCTCCATACAAGGAACCATTAAAAGCAACCCACACGAGACTTACTATATAGCCATGTGAATTATGTCCCCTATTTATTGTTGAACTTTCAATTATTGATATCTATGTTACATGGACTCGGGTACGGGTGTCGGGTGCGGATATGTATCTAGAGGTTGGACTCATCAAATCATAAATTTAAGGATACGCGGACTCGGCAAAAAAATGTCATATTTTTATATTTTTAATCTAATATGTGAGATAAAATGGTATTATATTTAACTTATAGTGTCAAAATGACATTTATAGCAATTATATTCCTTTTTTAAATTAGGGTTTTCAGCTTATAAATGTTAGTCTTTATTTTGTCCACTTCTCCATACAAGGAACCATTAAAAGCAACCCACGCGAGACTTACTATATATCCATGTGAATTATGTCCCCTATTTATTGTTGAACTTTCAATTATTGATATTGATTAAAAGGTTGTGGCCGTTTGTGTTAGTTTTGTGGTCATTTGTGTTAGGGTTGTGACCCTCTTTTCTTCCTTCCTCATCTCTTTCCTTAACAATGTTCTATTTCACATGATGCCACTCTAGGTTTAACTTCTCATGAAAATCCATTTTATTCTCATTTCTTCTGCAAAAAGGAAATTCTGATGATTTTTTGCTTCCATCTTCTAAACCCTATGGTTTGATTAAAGATGGTTGATCTAAGATGACTCATGCATTTGTGCATTCAGCAATGCAGAGAAGGCCAAGATGTCCATCCTGACCAAATCAAAGCGGTACTCTTGGATTCAGCTGGCTTCATGATGTAGGTTTCTTCTTCAATCGAATCAGAGTTGAAGCCGCATGGCTTATGGATTGTTCTGTTTCTCCGAAGAATTGGTTATGCAGTTGTTGTATGCTCTTTCTCATGCCTATAGATCTTATCATGCAACTAGCAAACTCAAATTAGCTCTGGGGAAGATTGACTAATATCGACACCTGTTAAAGCATTAGAAAACCTGTACTAGCTTTTTCAGCTTTGAAATATGTCTCTTCTTGAATTACTATCTATCTATGTTTCAATTTAGGCTTAAACTGCAACAGTGCATTTTCATTTATGTAGATGCATTTTCTTGGGACTTGCAATTGATTGCACTCTATTCTCTGTTCATCAATACAATGATCGGGAAGTAACTTCCTTTTAGATTTAAGTATTCTGAAAGAATTGATGCTGTGAAGGCTCGATTTTGCATGCTTTGCCTTTATCTTGGATCTTTTGAACTCTGTTTCTTGTAGCTGGGATGGCAATGCAAGAACTTCAGAGGAAGGCGAAGAACCTGCCAACCCTTACTGCACCCTCACCAATATTGCTACCATCAAGCTGAGGTCAGTTGCATCATTATTAGCCTTTGTTGGGTATACGTATACATGAGAATTTCAAAACAAGTAGCTTCCTTATTTGCTTTGTCCCACGTTGGTTTGTTGCCAACTTGTTTTCCACCTTTAATGTGGAAACACTCATCTGTGCCAGTGAATGTGGCAAGAGCCTGCACACACGAGAGCAAACCAAGGCTCAAACAATTTGAGAAAAACTTTAGAAAACTAGTTCAGAAACCAATTAACCAGGTGTAAGCCCTCGTAGGGGTGGAAATCCCACCAATTTCATTTCACTATATAAACAAACCTTCATTATATATGCTATCAATATGGTTACTCAAAGCTTACACGCTTGGTTCTTTTTTAGTACCGTTAATCAAGACTAATTCTCGAAACTACTCATAAGGAGAATGTATTTCATACACACTTGATTCTTTCTTAGTGATGTATGGTTAAACAAGGCTGATTCCCAAGACTACTCTCGGAATGTATTCCATTCGCGCTTGGTTCTTTCTAAGTACAGTTAATCAAGATTAATTCCTGAAACTACTCTTGGAAAATGCATTCTATACGCACTTGGTTCTTCTGAGTATGGCTTATTCACAAAACTACTCTTAGAGGATGTATTCCATACTACGTTCATTATGTTATTTATTAGGGGGAAACCACAGGTTGCACCAAATGGCAGTACTCAAGGCTCTCATCAGCTCCTAATATGTAACTCATTGGCCATTTCAGAAGCTAAGGGAAGGAACATGAGGAGGGCTGCATTGCTAGGGAGAAATGATAAGGCCATGTTTGACCACAATATAGGAGTTAAAAACAATTAGGGCATTTTTGTCCTAAAATCTCTTTATGTTATGTTTGGTTGAGAAATTTAAAAAGGAATTTAGAAGGGGAAAGGAAAACGATAGGTGAAATGTGAATAAAATATATTTACATTTCATTTATTTTCACACGTCTTTTTTTTTTCCTTTTCAAATTTCTTTTCAAATTCCTCAATCAAACACAACGTTAATATGTCATGCTTACTAACCTGACATATTTCAAATTAATTTGCTTGTTAACTGAATGAGTTTAATGTAACCATTACGGATTTACTGCAATTTATCTTCTCTTTTTTTCTTTATTGACACATTTGGTTGCCAAATAAAAGGGGTAATTTTATTTGCACACTACTAAACATTTTAGTTCACACCATATTCTCCTATTTACTTAGTTCACACCTCACCTAAATTAAAACTTTTGATTTTATTTCACTACACACCCTTTTTTTTTAAATAATACCAAACTACCCTCTTCTTCAACAAACCCAACCCTAACCCTAACCTTAATGACTACCACCATCAATAGCCGTCGTCGCCGCTGTTACCTTTCCACCGCTCTTTATCCTTCCACTATCTCGTCGCTACCCCCTTTCCCATCTCCTCTATCAACTTCATTTCTCCTCACACCTTAACATTAGGCCTCTCTCTCTCTCTCTCGTCGCATAATGGGGAGTCACAACGGTATGGGTTGCGATAACGATGGTTGCAAAAGCGATGGGTGGTGGGGCAGCAGGATTGGAGGGTTGCGATAGATGCTGTGATGGTGGACAGAGAGGGAAATCGTCATCGTGGTTGCTCGGGGAAGCAAATAAAGGTGGAAAGTTGGTCACATCAACCACCGCATCCACCATAGCTAGCCTTCTCTCCACCTCCTCCTCCTCCTCCTCTTCTTCTTCTTCTTCTTCTTCTTCTTCAACTAGATCTGTGTTTTCTAGATCTCTATCTGTTGGTCATAGCTTGAGGATTATTGGTGATGGCGATGGTCAGCGGTGGAGATTGGGCTACGATGGTGGTGGGAGAGAGAAGTCGTGGTGATGGTGGTTGGGGACGGCAGTCGAAGGTGGCAGAGGTTGGTGGTGATGATGGTATGTGTTGAGAGATTAGAGTTTAGAAATTTGTCCAAAAAGGTAATTTTATTGTGGGAAAAAATGTAATATAAAAAAAGAAAATAATGGTATGTACCAAGAATATTAAAGGTGTGCAAATAGAATTTTTCCAAATAAAATGAGGATTGGACTAGTTACCCATATGACTTATTATTGAAATATTTTCAAATATTCAAAGTTATTTTGAACCTATTCAAAACTTTTTATTTGGTTTTTTTACTTGCCTTTGTGAATTCCTACGCTCATAGGAAAAGGAGGTGAAAATAATGCACTAATTTATAAAAGGGTTCCTTAACAAGTGCGCTAAGAATATATTAAATGAGTATTTTAGGGGGATTTATTAAAAAGTTCTTTTTTAAATGTTTGTATTTTAATTAATTCATAAGATTTTTTTTGTATTTTAATAAGTCCTATTATTTGAATATTTGATCTATCAAATCCTAATTTTTATATTTAAGGTATTTTATGGACATTTCTATCCTTACAAATATTTTTTAAATGGTTAGCAATTTAGTAATGTGAACATTCATACTTTGCAATGTGAATATTCACATTGACAGTGTGAACATTTACATTGACAATATGAATATTCGCATTGACATGTTAACATTTATATTGATGATGTAAACATTCACATTGATGATGTGAATATTTACATCACGGAACATTTGCATTGTAAATGTGAATATTATTAGGGATATTTTGGTAATTATGCCACCCATAGGACTTATTGGAATATGAAAAAATAATGTGGACTAAATAGAATATAAGTAGGTGAAAAGGGATTTATGAAAAAGCGCCTCTTAATTTTATTCATTATTATAAAAAGTTGAAAAAAAAATAAATATATAGTATTAAAGAATTTTTTTTATAATTAGACTAAAATACCTTTTTGACATTTTTCTTGCATTATTTTATCTACTTTTTTGTTGACATTTTTTTTTTTAAAATTAATAACTTATTGAACCATATTAGACAAGACTTTTGAATATTTGCACAGAAAAACTGTGACAATTTATTCAAGGAAAATATATCTGAAAGTCTCATCTAAAGAACAGTTACCCCCAATCAATCCCATAATTTTTTCTATTATTCCGATAAGTCCGGTTGGTATTGACAATATAACAGTAAGATTCTATTTTGTATATTCGATATTTTTTGTTGGACGGTTGTACCCTTTCCTACTGTGATATCCACTCTTTATCACTGTAACACCTAACAAAACCCAGTTGATATGGTATGTGACATGTTCCACCACAAGGAAATGTTCTAAAAAGGTTATAGTGTATTTTTTCCCAATGTGTCAGCCATTTTTTCTCACTATAACACCCAACAAAAGGTTGGAAAAGTGTTGATGTGGCATGTTCTATCAAAGGAAGAATTCTAAAAAAGTTATAGTGTATTTTTTTTTTTTTTTCCCCACTATGACAACAAAAGGTTATATTTGTCATTACACATCCAATAGAAATAAACAAAACATAAGAAAAATCATGGGCTATCTAGATCACAATTTCAATATTTATGATTTATTGATCAATCACCCCTATATTTAACCAATTTTTTTTTTTACATATTATAAAATTTTCACGTAACAAATTTATAACATATTTAAAAAATTTAAGCTAATAATCTTTGAAAAAAATTATAAGTTTTTTTTCTTTTTATAAATTTCACCAAATGAGTCCATTATAGAGTCTCATTATCTAGAACAATTACTTTGCCTTTGTCAATAAAAAAATTAAAAATTAAAAAAAAAAATTTATTGGTGCATTTCATTAATTTTGTGAAAAAATAATATGAAATGTCAAAAGAATATCTCGTAATGCATGTGCAAAAAATGTTACAAAAATATTTTAGTCTCATTTAGGATGTAAATTGGGCACAGCCCGGCCCATGTCAGGCCACCCGAGCTCATGTCAAAATTTGAGCCAGGTCAGGCCAACCCACAGGTTAGAAAATTAGGCCATGGCCCAAGGGGTATTCAAGTTGGCGGGCTTGGGCTTGGGCTTGGGCCGGGCCTGGATGGGCCTGAACATTTTTTTTAATTTTTTATACCAAAATTTTTATTCTTTTCTACCAAAAATAACACAGGGCCTTGGGCATGCTGGGCTTTGAGTCGGCTTTGAGCGGGCCATGGGTCGCGTCAAGCGAGTCAGGTCCATAGGTTGGGTTTTAAAATGATAGCTCAGGCCCAGGCCCAGGGTCCTATGCTGGACTCGGACCCAAGCCTAATCGGGTTCGGCCCATCCCAAATCGCGGATCATTTTTACACCCCTAGTCTCATTATAAAGGCAAACAAAAAAATCTTTAATAGTATACATTTATTATTTTTTTCTACTTTCTATAAAATAGTGAATGAAGGTAATATTTATTCATTTAATACATTGATCATTTATTAACAAAACTCATTAACAAATAAAATCATGAAAAATTCTTTTTTGTAAATTAAAAATAACAGTAAAATGTGTGGTGGAGTGTATTATGAAGTTCATATACAGAACAAATCTGAACCGCACATTAATATTTCTGAATAAATTTTAAATAAATTTTTCTAAATTTATAATATTACTCTAAAAATAATCAAGGACAACTTCTTTCAGAAAGTATTACCATTCTAGTTTTTCTAACACTTTGAGAACTAAATATTTTGGTCAAAAAGTTATTATAAATCATCGCATCACTCATTTTACTTTTTTATATATTTTTTTTATAAAAAATTAAAAATTTATTAAAATATCATATTTCAAAAATATCTTGATCAAAAAGTTATTATAAATCATCGCATCACTCATTTTACTTTTTCATATATTTTTTTTATAAAAAATTAAAAATTTATTAAAATATCATATTTCAAACGAGGCTTTATTAACAATGGAATAGTGTCAGGATAGTATGTCTCAT